TGAAGCGCACCCGGAGATCGACAGGTAGCTAGCGCAGCTCGCGGAGGATAGGTATTATGTGGGCGAACCGAACCCCTGCGAACCCCCCCCCCCAGCAGCCCACCCCTGCATCCAGGTATGTGGTGAGTATCCCCTCCATCAACTTTTCATCATATCATAAGAAGGTTAATGGCCAGAGGGGTTAAGGGTGCCACTTTATGGCCAGGAACTAGAGAGGAACAACTGATGTGGCTTCCGTGCCATTCTGCACTTAATGCCCTCGGATATCAAAATGCCACCGGTATTTTAACACTTTGCCAAGGTCATGACCCCAAAGAGCAAGATGATGTGTTTACCAGGGAGAAACCCGGAAAGCATGCTGGCAGGGCAGAAGGCAACGGTTTGGATGTCCACCCACCTGGTCACCTCCTGGGCTTCTTCAAAGCTCCCCACGGCCACCGAGGGCTTATAAGCGAGGGCCAGGACGCGGAATCCGTTGCTTGTGAACTGGCACAGCTGCTGGGGAAAGTCCTGGGGGACTGCAAAGCAAGAGGGGAGAGCAGCTTTTAGGAGAGGAAGACACGCTGTCAGAAAGTATAAGAAGACCCTCCTTCCCGCCCCCATATATGCCCTCCAAGGAGACTTCAGCAAAGACCTGATGCTTTCTGGCAGAGGCTGGCCACCGTCTCCGGAGCTCCCTTCATGAAAGCCTCCACGGGGCTGTTGCCGGGAGCCTTCCCCAGAACGCTCATCCTCCTCAGGGCTGAAGAAAACGGGAAGCGACGGAGGACAGCCATGGGGACGGCGGGCTTCTGCGGAGAAAAGGCCACAGCTGAGCTCCCAAAAGCAGCCCGAAGAAGGGGGCAATTTGTGAAGCGGGTAAGAGGAAGTGGGTGTTCGGACCCAGCCTTAGCAGAAGTAAGAAACAGACTCCTTGTCCCGAAAAAAAACCCTCTTTGTTTAGCTACTATGAATTAATAGCATTCACACACAGAAAAGCCCAGGCAATAATCCTTCCAAGCGTTAACTGAAATACAGACCTTATCAGCTGGGAGCTGTCAGCCACAAAGCTGTAAATTAAACTCTCTCAACAGTCTACAAGACACGATAGGAACAAATCTTCCAAAACAAATCCAAGCAGTTGTCTCCTACGACACCCCTTTTGCTTCTATTTATTCCCCAGCCAGGGAGGGGCCATTTAGCGTTCTCATGTGCCTTTCTTCCCGAGTCGGCCCTTGGTCCTCAATTGTTCTCTCCTGACAGCTCTGCGCATCCATGCATCTGGAACAGCTGTTCCTCTTCCCTGCTTATCTCCGACTCTGAAGGCAGCTGGGGAATGTCGATGGCCCTACCTCTATCTCTGTTTCCCACGCAGAGCCTTCCCCAGACTCCAGGACTGGCCAAGTTCCTCCCCAACCTCTTTCATTATTCAAGTCTGCTGCCAGCGCCATTGGCAGCCAGTGAGCCACAATAGTGGGTTTTTCCTAGATGTCCCACAAACCACCTTCGCCCAGGCTGCTTTCTGCATTGCACCCAACCTCTGATGAAGAAGGCTGCGAGCCCGTCCCTCTTTCCTGCCGCGAGGAAGGATAGAGCCTCACCATGCCGGGCAGCTGCTCTCTCGGCAGCGGGGGAGCCACGACAAGCAGAGCTCCGGTCCCAAAGTCTTGTTCCAGGGAGGCCTTCACCTCTGGCCCTTCGGTTTCTACCAGAGACTGCAAAAAGCAAAGAGGAGGCTGAGGGAGGGGCTGCCATGTCCTGTGGGAAACATGGTTGCCCCTTGAACGGATCCCACTTTAAAGCTCAGCTGTTTGGAACAGGGCTTAGCGTGGCAAAGATGACCAGAAAAGACAACAACTAAAAGTGATAGTCACTGGAATTGAGAGTCCCTTGGGATGCCGGTCTTGGGAGTCTG